TCCTGTTAGATTTAGATTTTATATTTCATGACACTTTATTCTAGAAACAGAACTGTTACACAGTTTATACGATACGCTTATAATTTTCACTTACACTTTAAAACAGCCACGTCTCCTAAAACAGGGAGACGACGGAAGTGTAGAAGAAGATAAAGAAAAGGAAAAGATAACGAATTAAAGTGCAACGAAGAAATGAAAACACCATATGCGGTGAAATTACAGACATAGCTCCTACCATAATTACATTCTCGTATTCTATAATAATCTTCTACAAGAGAATTTTCTCGAAAATTTCATCCGTTGCTCCTCACAAATCTTCGATCTTACTCACAATCCTCTGTCTTCTATGTTGAAAGAAATTTTTCAACACTACAAACAGGAGTAACATTCGGAGACCTTCCAACCCAAAGTTTCATTTTCTTCTCTTCATTTTAAACAGGGATTTAAATGATTTTGAAAATGAGTCTTGGTGAATCGTACGAAATCCAGGCTTTCGTATCGAATATTTCAAATCCACGCAATCGCGCGGCCCGATAAGCTGTTTCGGATCGAAAAGTCGGCTGGAAGTTGGGGGCTCACGGCGTGCAAAGGTCGTTAGCAGAGTTTCGAGCGGTGCATAGCAATGAGCCTTGAAAAGGGGGTAGAAAACCTCCTGGGAATCCAGACACCCGTTACATAGAAGGCTCGTACGAAACGAACGGGCTGGCCCGGTAACATTGAGGGGGGGCCAGCTTCGAGACAAAACTGACTCATGCCAAGCGGGATAATCGAACGCGTTACAGGCATTCTCTGGATTCGTTTCGTGCACGGAATAACGTATAAGTACGCTCTACTCGTTTCCAAGTTCCCATGGATTTCAGGCGACGCGACGTGTCGCTCGATCACAAATAAACGACTGAAATTTAATCGTCGTTTCTCTCAGCTTTACATCGTGACACTAATTCGATCATTCAGGGTGTATCGAACCAAGGGACACTGATGCTGATCAACGCAGACAGTTTAGTAGGTGAAGCGCGCCAATTTTAGTAACTGTGATCGTATACTTTAGCAAGTTATGTTTAACTTAACCTGATAACATACTCTTCCCGCCAGTTTAATAGAATAGTAATAAGTAGGAAAGTCTCGATGAAAAGAAGAGAAGGTAATGATTAATCGATGAAAAATTGATTGCTCTAATGGAATGTGTTACCATCAGTTGGTAATTGGGAATTATTTGGGCTCATTCGAAATATGTATGTGGGTGGAATATTTTTTTATTTTTAACTCTTTGCGGTCGTATTTGCCGTAGGCATGTTAGTCGTACTGGTCGGAATTATTGCCCCAAAAACGTATAAATTTTAATCAAATAAGTTTATTCAAGCTGTGTGCATGTTACTATTTTTTCCCCGTTTCTGCAGGCAAAGAGCGTCCACAGAGCGTTTAGAAGGTGAAAGCGCCTTGCCGGGAATATCCCGGGGTTCGACCGCAAAGAGTTAATGTTACAGTTCACCACCCGAAATTTTTATAGATAATTTTCACCGCAACAAGTAAATTTTTAACTTACAGAGCGTCGCAGTTGTTTCCGATCAAACTTTGCCAGTATATTCTACGGGTGTGAGCACGTAGGTCGTTTGAGGCTTTATTGAAACGTTATAATAAAAACGCGAAATTATTTTCAAACATTTTATTTAATAGGAAGTATCTTTATTAATACGAACAAATTAAACTGAAGAAACGAAAGATTTAACGACAAAATGAAATAGAACGAAGTTACTATTTCGAATTATTTCAATAAACCAAACAAACGTGCGATTCTTTCAAATTTTTTACACGTTTAAATTAAATATTACTTTTTCATAAAATTAGGTCACCACAGTTGATTACTCTTTTCCAGGACTTCGATCGGCCAAACACTTTTTCTTCCTCTCTTCTTTTCGATAATAAATTGAAAATTTCTGTTACTTTCTTTATACTTTCCCACCTGTTTTACCAATGTACAATAACATTTTACAGTTCTAATAAACGACTACTCTTAGTTACGTTCCTAATACAGTAAATTCTCCACAAGTGTCAGACAGTTTGGATTCTACAAGTGTCAGTATAGATGGTCCTACACCTAGGTCTGCGCCTGTCTTGTTCAAATTATGTCGTGTTTGATGTCATTTTCATCAGAAAAATCTCATCAATATGTTAAGAAAAATTTCGGGATAAGAAAACGTAAAATTAAAAAAGTTGGTATTTAAATCGCTTGGTTGCCTCCGACTCACGTTTCATCCTTATCTTTTATTCGCTGTCCTTGTCTACGTTCGGCAAACTACAAAGGCGGGCGCGAGGCTCGAAAACGTAGTCCCTGACTCTACAACTGTCAGGTTTAGCTTCCTTGCGGACTGACACTTGTGGAGAATTTTTTGCCAGGTGTAGTACCACTTCTACCCAATTAAAATTTCTCCAGGTAAAACTAAACCGAGCCAAACTAAAACTTCTCCTAAGACCGTGTGTTATTACATGTTTGAAGATTATCCGTACGTGAAGAGGAAGTATGCGTAGAAAGCGTGTCACTCGACACGCCGGTTGTCACATAAATCACGGGCATCCCGCTTCCTCGTTGTTGGTCACGAGTCAGACTACTACGCATGTTGATTCTACAACGTCATTCGTCCTTTTCGCCTGTTCAGACCGGCGGGCTAGGCAGGTTAATGAAACTAAAATACGCGAACAAGCGTAGCGAAAGGAAAGGAGAGACCATTACTAAACGAGCCTCTAGTTATCCCTGTTCCTCCCTGCATCACTTGCCGGAAACATTTCGCGACGAAAGAAGGAAGGGTCGAGTCGCGTTCAGGTTCGAAGACTCGGTCTTGTTAGGCCAGCCAAAGGGGGATTCTGATCGACGAACCGTGCCGGCCTTAAGGGCTCTTTACTCCCATAGACACGCTTCGTTTCTCGATTGATTCTTTATTTTACAATCGTCGTGACATCGTAAAGGCCAACGAATGCCCGCAGTGCCAGGAAGTTCCGAGGCGCACGATACACCCCTGAACTTGCTAAACCTTCAGGCCACTCGATCGATCCTCCTCGCTCTCGTTCCGGTTTCTTGATCTTCAGTTGAATTTTGCGTTCGATCGAGCTCTCGCGATCGTTCTTCCTGGTGTACCTTGTCGTAGCAATGTTTGTTTGCACTGGAAGCTATTTTCTAACGGTGGATTATGAAACTTTAAAGTAAGGGATGAAATTTGTACAGTTGAATTGTGCTGGGGGCAATTGAAAACTGAAAGTCTTCGGGTCTTTTTCGACCCATTGCCGTCTTATTTTTTAAATAATTTTTGCTATTATCAATTTTATAGTCCCTTAACGTTATATTAACAGATTGCCAACCGATTGTGCTAAATCTACCATTTTCTACTGTATTATTTACATAGAATATTTCATTCTCATTTTTTCTTCCTTCCGTGTTATTGTCGATGTAACGAACCATCGTTGAATTTGACACGAGTAATCTTCCTTTATCAATTTTCCTAGAATTCGTTTTAGCAATCTTAGACATCTGTTCAGTTGCAATTCGGTTGGCAAAGTGTTAACAGTTTATTGTCTAAAATCGTTGCACATAAAGTCTTCGGGTCTTTTTTGAGAAAGACCTTTTTCATTTTTCAGAAAATTTTATTCATCGTGACATTTCGAACGGTGTAAATATATATAAATATTAAAATTAAGTATAAAACCTTCAAGCAGGTGCTGTATTGTAAAAACTATTGAAAAATGCGAAAGTTATAATAGCTTTCATAGTTCACTCCCTCTTTCTGCAAACTTGCAAAATAAAAATTCTCAAAGACCAGCCGGTTAAGTGTTAAATGAAAGATTGTAAGCAGAAATTTTAAATATCAATTCACAAACAACGCACGACCCTTGTTGCGGCTATACCAATCGATGTCGCCGCTTAATGCTTTAACTTACGACCTCCCTATATCGCTTCCATCAACTATACATTTAAAATACTCGTTTCTAATGCTGTTTTTAAATCAAAATTGTCAAAGTTTGCACCGTCTGATAGACTCCCATAGCTTCCAACATCTATCGCGGTAAAACAATAATTACGGTCAACTAGCGCCAAAATTACAATACTAATTGTTCCTTTGTAATTATGGTAAAGAGCTGTAGCATGTGGTAAGCGTTGAGTTACAAAGCTCCTATACAATTAGGGTAGTTCCACCTTGTATGGAATCCTTTTGCAATATCCTGTTAGATTTATCAGTCAGTTAGATATAACAAAAATGAATCTAGAGCCCTACTAGGAAGTATACATATATTACTTTTGTATACGTTTGGAAAAATCCGTTTAGCTTTACCACCTCTGTTTAGTAAAGATCTAAATGTTTATGATACGTGACAGAAGGCCCTTCGGTCCCAAGCGGGGTCGTAGGCAATATTAGGGCGTTGCGTAGGAGCATTCTCAGTCCGTATACAGTGCTCTTACCATCAAGTAGAAAAGCGAACCTTCCTTGTGTCTGATAAAAGTTTTTATAGTTTAAAACAAGGATTATTAATTATTTAACAACCAATAACTCCCATAATCCAATATATCCAACTTCACAGTTTAAAACAAGGATTATTAATTATTTAACAACCAATAACTCCCATAATCCAATATATCCAACCACTCAGTGAACTATACTTCACATATTCGATACTTTATATTTCGACGTACCTAACGGCGAACGATAAGCTTGACCTTTAACTTATCGAACGAAAAAGCTGTCCACGGTTATTTTGATGAAATATGTTAACGTTAGCAACGACCATTACGCATGTTCGGCTTCCTCAATTTATCGACCCTTATTACTAAATGTCAACCCCTGACCTAAATTAACCTTTAAACAACGTTGTAGATCAACCGTGAGCAATTTTAAGCGGATAAATTCATCGCTCTTTCCGCTCTGTATCTCGTTTCCCACGAATTAACATAACGACCGTTTTTATCGACGATTCTTGCTTCGATAATCATCCATTTCCTTGGTTTCGCTCCACAGAAGGAAGCTACTCTACCAACTCTTCCGGTTCCGGATTTGGAGTCAACCTTACAGAAGTACTTGGCCCAGGTCGAGGCAGTCGCTCCTCATCATCTGCCGAAGACCAGGAGCCTGGTGAAAGCTTTCCTTTCTGGACCTGGACCGAAGCTTCAGCAACGACTTGTAGAACGTCGACAGAAAATGACAAACTGGGTGAGCGAATAATCGATTTCTCACATTTCGTAGCGATATTAGGTCGTCTAGTACATTCGTACCATTTAGACCGATATTTTAAATGGGTACACATGTCTTTAACACGTTCACTGTCCAGATGTTTAACCGAGTAACCTAACGAGTCAGTGTTTTACTTAGCTTTGTACAGTGCTATTTCTTAATCTTCCTTTTCAAGTGAAACTTACCGAACTACTTAAAGCATACCAAATTGTATAATAAACTGTGAATCTAGACAGTAAGTCGCTAACAACCCATAAATGTGATTGATGCGACATTTAATAACGAATTAAAAAAGAAAAGGTATTCAATTTTCAAGGAATAAACAAGGTTTGTTCCCTGTTATATCAGTTTTATTTCACACACCTCTCAAATGAAACTCATTTAACATTGAATGCGCCTGTGTATCCAATGTGACGCAAGGACATGGCAGGAGAGAAGACCGCGCATCACATGTATGAGCCATTCAGAAACGAAAATGATTGAAACTCCACTTTTGGAAATTCTTCCAATTTTAGTATCAAGGCGCATGCTTGATGCTTTCTTCGTAAATAAAAAAAATTGAATAAATGTAATTTCGATTTCTGAGTGGTTCATATACACTACCGGCCAAAAGTTTGGAATCGCCTCCCACTTTTCATCAATACTAAATCTGCTGCTAATTTTTTATAGATTTGAAGTTTATCTCAGTTCCACATTTATCAACTTATCTCATATGAATTGATTCGGACGATAAAAAATTCTCAAAGTCGTTGACTTTTTTCTGGAAATTTTTGTGTAAATTGCAATGCTCAGGGATTCCAAACTTTTGGCCGGTAGTGTACGTAGACAATACAGGAAACAGTGGACGTGTTGAATGTTAAGAAAGAATGTAATCACCTTCTCGTTCCACAATTTTTTCCTATCTTTTTGGCAACGATGTTGGAAAGAGCAGATAATTTCCTCCGTTAAAGGCAGAAAGAAACAGGCTGCACCACTTGTCCCTCATTCGGACAGTTCTAAAAATCTGCCGTAAATTTCTATAGCTCTCGTCGCTTCGTCTCACCTAGACAGAACATTCACAAGTGTAATTAACCATTCTACCATTTTCGATGACCAATATCTTACTCGAACTGACAAAAACCATAGAAGAACAAACGGCTCAGTGAGGCTTCAAGTTTGGAAGCACACCACTGCTCGCCTCTATCATCGACGCAGCTTTTCCAATTTGACCCCTTTGTCTTTCACAACCACTGCTCACTTTTATCGCAATATTTGCGTTGTTCCGGCTTACTTTCAAGCGCGGAAAGTTTGCCGTCTCTCCGTTCCCTTCTCGTTCCGGTGAAACGTCACGAGACGAGTGCGCGAGCCCTCGTAAATCCATTTATTTATTTATTTATGTGCCACGGGATCTCGAAACCGGATGGCCATAGGGACGTGGAGAGGCTTATAGCGGGGCCATGCATCGAACCGGGATTCCCGTGGGACCGACACCACGGGATGGGGAGATCGCAAAAGTCACGGAGAACGCGTGCGGATATTCTGTGTAGGCTGATGCCACCAGAAGTAAATTCTCCGGAGGCAACGTGGGTTGAAACGAAAATGCTGTTCTGCCACTTAGAAAGAAAAAGAACGTACACTGCCGTTCAGAAGTATTAGGACACCTATTATATTCGTACAGAAAGTATTACGTGATTTTACTAATAAAAATTATTATTTAGATGTCATGTTGAGCTGTTCACAGGCCAAAGTGGTTAACTTGGCTTTTTGAATTTTAGTGCCAAAGCACTTGATTCGTGCTTGTCTTTTTATATTTAAAATAAATTTCTGTAGTAATTGAGTTTAACACCATTAAATGACGAAACTTTTTGTGACCGTTGAATAGTAAATAATTTATTTCAGAAGCCAACGTGAGTAGCTCCATACTCGAAAGTAATCCGTTGTAATAATGTAATTCAAACGCTTGTGACAATTTAGTTAAGCAACTTTTTAATGCAACGGTATAAAGAATCTCATCAGTTTCCTCTGCTTTTTGGCAAACGAGCGGCTCATGTATATCAGTAAAAATATACAGGGTGCTCACTATTAGTTTCCAATATTTTTCTCATAAATGGTAGATTTGCGAGAAAAATGGAAGAGGACAATGTTTCGTTATTTTTTATACGTAACACGATTGTTTCAATAGATTTTTCGGTAACGACGGTACCGTGAATTTTTTTTAATCGATAGCTATAAAGCGATTGCCGACACAATTTCAACGATCTACAGCAAACTCGTTTTCGAACTCGGTTGCGTGTGAATATTTGGTGTGACATAATCAACGACACTGTTAAAATCGTATTTTTATGACAGCACCTTAAACAGAAATAGATCTCGATAATTTTGTAACGACTGTTTAAGTTTGCTTCACATCCAGTAAGTGTCCTAATACTTGTGAACAGGAGTGTACCTATCTGCTCCCGTTCCTTATCAACGCCATTCGTCTATCGTAAACTAGATTACATTTTCGTATCTGATTTTCTTTTATACGTTCTTACACGATAAATATTTACAGACACTTCTTTCTTTTTTTTAAGATTTTCGAGTGCGAATTTATACTGGAATTAGGAATGATAAACTTTCTCGTCTAAATTTTCCAATCGCGATCCAAGTTTGCAACACTTCGCGAACCGATGCGAGGTACACCATAGCACGTGTATTAAGAAATTATTATTACAGTTTTTATCCATTTGTTAGTTACAATATTTAAAAAAAGAATATATATATATTTTTTTTCTTCTAAGTTAACACTTTACCGACCGGTAGCGGTTGAACATCTCACGCACTGCAGACCGCTCACTCGGCCACAGATACATCGTTGACACCGGCTCTGTTTAGACTGTAGGCTATCGCGCGGGAATATATGCGCTTTTTCTTGTATCTATAGAAATGTTAAATCAAACTTTGACCGATTAATAGGATACCGGTCGGTAAGCGTCGGCGGCAAAAAAGCGATTAATAGGTTACCGGTCGGTAAGCGTTGACGGCAACAAGCCGATTAATCGACTACCGGTCGGTAAAGTGTTAAGAATGATTAAAATTTGCTTTTTGCACCACTTTTTTTCGCTTTAATGCATTTTGAAATAGTACAGGAGAAAAGCACACGTGTATAAGTGAAAATAATGAAGCAATTTGGGTATTTTACCATGAAAAATATAATTCTGACACAAAAGTTTGTACTACTTTCGAAACAATTAACGATAACAATAAATAGAATATGAAATCAAATATCTTATCATTCGCTCGTTTAAACGAGTAATCTAATGGTTGTCATATTTTTATAGATTCAGTTAATACATGCAATCCGTTATTTTTCGTATAATAAAAATATTCATGGTATTCAGAGCAAATTTCTTTCCGCGACTGCAAAGGTAAATAGCATCGGACAGTCTGCCGTTTTAAAACCTCCAAACGTAGAGAAGCTTACGTAAGCTGTTCCCTTAAATATTCAGAACGTTAAAAGGCTTGGCGGAAATACGAGCGTTGAGCATTTGGAAATGATGTCGAGAAAGGAAATTTTCCGGCTAATTATGCTGTGCAACGTCATTTTTGTTTCAATGTATGCTGTCCGGCAAGAATATTACGTCCTCGTGACACCAGATGTTTCAATAATACGAAATTTACTCGTTACATTGAAATTTCATAAAAATATGCCGGATTCGCGGAATCTACTCGTGGAAATATATCAAAAATTTAGAACACAATTTTTTTCATAAAACGCGTAACCTTTGAGAAAAATTATTATTACCTTGTTTAATCCATGTAATTTTGATAGTATAAATGAATGAAGAAAGTAACACCAACTAGTAGACAATTGTAGAGTCCAGTGTAAAAGCATAATAAGATGAACTTCAGTTTGATCGTAATCGAAATATTAATTTAACACTAAAGAGAGCGATCGGCTGGGTCAAAAGTGACCCATTAGGGACGTTCCAAAAATGAATCTTTGTGTAACTAAAATGTCAATGAAAAATTCGATTCCAAAGAAATGCGAAAATATGCAATAATTTATGCATTCTTTTTTATTTTCTTTTTTCTCTTTCAGCTACATAACCGACTAGAATTTCAGTTAGGCAGATATTGGGTCCGCATTAGGCTAGCCTAATTTGCCTGTTAGGCCCGCATGCGGTATGTAACGCGGAATGGGAAAGCCGCGTTAGGGCCGCATTAGGCTTTCCCAATGAGGCCAACCGCATTAGGCACATATTAGAATAGCTTTATTAGGCTGTCATTGGGAGACATTGATGAAATCTCATGAGGAATACCTCATCAAGACACTGTATGGATTAAATTATAAAAACTTTTATTGTTTCAATATTTAAGGATTGTTAAGGCGTGTCCTGTAGCCGGATTTACCACAAGTGTTTATTGCGTTGCCTGCGACACTTAGTCCCTAGGACCAGACCCTGCCATAAGTCCTGGAGTCTCCGCACGGAAAATAGAAAAGCGGCCCACAACTTTTGCCACTGTCGATGGGCCACTTGACTTTAACAAAGCCTAGAAAAGCGGAGATTCCACAGGATTCCCACGCATCCGTCCACCGAACACTTTTTCCGGTCGTTGTTTACCCCATCCTAAGATAACGCGCTAAGGACGAAATGGAGGGAGGTTGCGATGCACCGGAGTAAGCTGATCGGTGATTTAGAAAAGGAAAAATCACCAATCAGGGTGTTTTTAGGAAAATAGGAGTCTTCGTCGAGGGAAACCGCAGAGACTCCAGCAGAAACACTTGGCCACTCGCAAGAGAAACACCTCTCACTTCGTAATAGAATTTATATCTTGAATTAGTTGTAGAAAATAGAACATAAAATAAAAACTTAGTGTTTCAATCAAGAAACTGGTCCTTCGAAGCCTTAGAACATTAGTCGGCACACACGTGCAAAAACCGGCAAAGCTTGAACGATCGAAAGATCAACCGCAAGCCCCTAACAGCAAGATTATCCAACCTATACATACTAGTAGTA